TCTTCATGAGGTAATCTGGTTTTTGATCATAAATTATCTTTTTTGCCAATGCTTATCTTCTGTTTGTATTATGTGTCATAATAGTAATGCTAACAATTACTATGATCATTTATTATTTCGAAGGTGCTTGAGAAGGTTGTGGCAGCACAGTTAATTGATTACTTAGAGACTAATCAGCTCATTCATCCAATGCAGTTCGGTTTTAGACCAAAATTTTCCACAGAAATGGCAAATTGCTATTTTGTTGAAAATATTAAGTGTAATCTGGATAATGGTAATGTTGTGGGTGCAGTGTTCCTTGACCTAAAAAAGGCTTTTGACACTGTCAGCCATGACATACTTCTTTCCGAGTTGATAAAATTTGACTTTTCAAAGCAGGCAGTTGATTGGTTTGAGTCCCATCTTCACAAAAGAGAGCAGTGTGTGAGGGTTGATAAAGAAAAGTCGTCCATGTTGGAAAACAGAATGAGTTTTCCCCAAGGATCTGTTCTTGTCCCATTGCTGTTTAGTTTGTTTATAAATGATTTGCCTGCCAGTTGTCCAAAAGCTAACTGCCAACTTTGTGCAGATGATGCAGTTATACCGTACCAGCTAAGTCACCTGGCGAGGCAGCAGACACCTTAACGCAGGGGTAGGCAACTCCAGGCCTCGAGTGCCGGTGTCCTGGAGGTTTTAGATGTGTCCTTGATCCATCACAGCTGATTTAAAGGGCTAAATGACTCGCATTTCTTGAAGTTCTCCAGAGGCCTGGTAATAAACTAATCATTTGATTCAGGTGTGTTGACCCACGGTGAGCTCTAAAACCTGCAGGACACCGGCCCTCGAGGCCTGGAGTTGCCTACCCCTGCTTAACGGCACATCTAAATGAGTCAACTAGTCATCTTATTTGCATATTCTCTCATTTTTCATATTGATGACAGTTTGGACCCAAGCAGCACCATCTACAATTCAGCCTGTGGTGTCCTTATATAACCAATCTTTAAAAATAATGGATAAAATAAAATGTATCGTTTGATTGTAAGCCCAACAAGGGACAATTGTTGAAAATTAGCAATAGCTATAAACTTATGTGCGTTACATCAGTTCATGTTTTGTACTTGGACTATGTTAAACTGCACTGTCCCTTTAAAATAAATGAATTCAAATTCAAACTGCTTTAAACACAGATCCTAAGGATAAAACTCATCGGGAGACCTTGACCCCACAAATCATGTCAACACACCCTACTGTACAGTGTTAAAAAACTATGGCTAGTTTCCTTCTTTATAACAGCTGTGGGATGTTTCCTGTATCACACTCATCTGGATGATGGTGTTGGGAATTACTTCTCTTTGGTTGCCAGATGTTGAGATGCAGAGTTTTAGCAGATCAGTGTCTGCTGGGCTCAGCTCCACCAAACTGGACCTCTCAACTGTGCTAGCACTGTTGGGGCCTTTATGCACGCAACCTCATACACACACGCGCACACGCGCACGCACACACGCACACACACACCTGGTACTTTATATCTTAATATTTAGTCTTCTAATCCAAAAACACAGGCTCCCATTAGCTTGGCCACATTTACTTTAAATGAATCCAAACCAAAACAACAAAATTCATCAGTCCATTGAAGGCGTCTAATCTTGTGGTGTCAGAAAAGATGCTACTGTGTTTGGTGAGCATAAAATTATTTACAAAGTAAAAAACTAAGCAGATGTTTGACACTAGTAACGCAGGGTTAAAAATGGTCCAAAGCATTATTAAAACCTGGAAGGATGCAGTGAACCATCACATGCCAGAATCTTCAGTAAACATGATCACTTAAACGTTTGAGGAAAATCAGACGATAACAAATCAACAGTAGAACTCACAGCTCTGTCTCAAAGTGAAAACAAAAGCATTTTCACACATAATGTGACAAAGAATGGCTAATGATAAAAAAAAAAATGGCTTCGACTTGTCAGAAAGACTGAACTCTGGAGTAATTCAGAAGGGTCACCAGGTCTGATGATTTACTCTCTTCCAGAGTGATGTGCATCCTTGGATAAGAAGAAGAAACACTGATGAAGTGATGCATCTATCACAGCTAGTAAGATATCAGTGTTTTTACACAGTGACTGGCCACCAGTCGACAGAGTAACCGTAACCCTGCTGACAATCTTTGAGACGCGCTGCAGAAGCTTGAAGCAGTGATCTGACCCCTGCTATTATCAATACAAGCTCTCAGTGAAAAATGAAAGAAACACTGGAGAGAATTAAATATTGTGACATTGCATGAGCTTATTTAAACAATGCCAACATGAATGCATGCCAATAAAATATCAATGCTTTTTTTTCTGGCCCAGCAGTGTATACGGCTTATGATAAAGCTCTGAGCCCTCACAGTGGACCTTTTAAACAGCATAAACATAAGTGTTTGCAGCAGAATTCAGAAGCTCCACATGATAGGACAAATGTTCATTATTGGTCACTAATCACTCTCAGGTATTGAGCTGACTCATAAATTTAGAGTTTTGGAAACAAACATAAAAAATGCTCGATCGGTTTGGTGCATGCAACATGAAAAGGTTTCTCTGTCGTCCTCATTACTTTGCATCTGAAAAGGCAACCTCGCGCTCCCCGTGTGAAATCCACTGATATGGAGAACTTCTCTGGAAAAGTGTGTGTGAATCTTGGCCCTCTTATCGCCAAGATGAGGCCGAGTGAATGAAGAGCAACAAGTGTGTATGTGTGAGGATGTGTGCGTGCATTTGTGTGTCTTCGAGTCCAAGCTCAATGAACACAAACTAATCTGACCTGAATGTCTCATGCGCACACACACACACACACACACACACACACACACACACACACACACACACACACACACACACACACAGAAAACCAGGAGCACAATGTTGGTTTTGTTCTGTGGGAAAACTGATGAGGAAAGGAGTTAAGAGGAGGAGGGGAATACCGTTGCCATGGCTACAAGGACGGGGTCCCCGATGGAGAGCTGGGTTGACTCTCACTGGAAACAAATACATCCACACACACACACACACACACACACTGGTGGGACCACCTTGTACTGCAGACAGGAAACTGTGAGGCCTGCTTCTTTGTCGATTGGTATAAAAGTAGTTACACGCACACACACACACGCACACTTCACACTATGAAAGAGAAGTTTTGCCCACTTGTCGACAAGTAACTCAGAGAAAAAAATGGAGGGAGGGTCTGCGGAGAGAGGAATGGATGGATGCAGAGAAGGAGAAATGAGGATAAGGTTAGACTTAGTTGGGAGTTTTTATCAGTGCGATCACGTCACAACCAAATGACCAAATGACCAGCGTTTTCCTTTTTTCCCTTTCAGCTTCTTTTCTTCTGCTTTTTTTGTCCGTCTGCTTTTGAATCGCTGAGAAAACGGAGCTCCACACTGCTTTTTCTCTCCTCTAAACTGTCACTTACCCACCAAAATAAAACCCTGAATGGTAAGAGAGTTGCTGGCGTGATGCAACCATACATTCCTCGGGAGGCCGTGCTGGAGGGATTCAACATGCTTCAAACTAAGAGCTTTGTTGAATGTCCATCCATCATACAATAATTTATAAAATGAACTTCATGTTCAAACTAGAGCTGGAACCCATAATCTCGCAAGGAAAGTGTTTATTTAGGACAATGAGCATAGACGTCTATAAAACTGTCTGCAACCAGGGGAGTCGCCCTCTGCTGGCCATCACAGAGAATGCAGGGTTAAGGATAGAAAGCAAGTTTAAGGCACTTCCTCGTTGGCTTCATTTTTCCAACCCAGATGTTTTATGTTGTCTGCGCTCTTAACACAGGAATTTTCTACATAAGATATTTAGGAATGCATCTGCTCTAATGGGAAAGCTAGCGTTAGCTGTCATTAGTCCACTGAAAGTCAAGTGAGTGACTTTCAGTTAGTTTCGATCATTCAAAACTAAAGTAAAAAAGAGAGAAAAATAAAGATGTTTAACTTCTTAGTTTGCCATTGACAGCAGCTATTTACCAGTAAAATTCCCTTTATTGCCCTCTTATTAAACAGTAAGTGGCGTCACCTAGTGGCAGTAGAGGGTACTACAACAAACCTACAAAACATCTTCTGGCAGTTACACCATTTCACATTTTTCCTCTGAATTAATCATTAATGTCTTTTTAATCATTAATCACCTTAACTGCTATAAATCTCCGATACCTCCAGTATGTCAGCCCTGTAATGTGTTGGGAATTATAATGAGTGTTGACCACAAGTCATTTATTTTATCGTGGGAACTGTCTCAGTGTACAAATACAGCAGCAGATACATTTCACATCAGTTGTGCCAACATCTGCTGTCTGACTGCTGTTTTCGGTTGTTTCTCTGTGGTCTGCAGCCTCAGAGCAGCTCACAGCCTTCAGCCTCACTGCAATCATGCTTGTCATAGAGCAGCTGAGCTCAGCTGCTGCTGCTCAAGTGACAAATTAGTCTGAATTTGACCCGAAAGCTGACCTAACACACACACACACACACACACACACACACACACACACACACACACACACACACACACACACACACTTTAGACACATTAACTGACATGACACACTGCCCCCTGCTGTCTCATCAGTAATACTGCAGCTCAATTTCACATCGATTTTCCATCAGATATACTGGTTTCTTCCAACATGTCACAGACAATACTGCTCCCTGATTGGCTCAGTCAGTTCTGAATTTGACAGTTTGTTTATAGTCTGAAGCTCTCAGTCAAGTGTGTAGTAAAAGTTTTTTAATTTTACAGTTACGCCGTATTTTGTACCTGTTTAGGCTAATAAATAATTACAAAATAAAGAAAAAAGTAATGCTCCCCTTAAAGCTCGATATTTAATTACCTTCGCTCAGACAATGTCTGATTGTACTGTGAGCAAACTCAAGGCAGACCTAGAGGATTACTTACTCTATGGATACTTATTTATAGTTGGATCTATCTATCTACAAACAAATATAATAAAATGTGGTTAAAAAAAGAAGTAATGTATCACTTTTCGCCATAGTTTTTAATTTTTAATAGTATCATACACAAGCATGTTTCTATTAAAACACATTATATCAACTTAATTAACCAATAATGTACAAACAGGTTCAAAATGACAGGCTGTCTCACTGTGATCATCCTGCATGTGCAAACTGACACACAAAACAACAGAATCAGCAGCATGAGCACAAAGAATCCAGTCAGCATCAGAGCAGAGACGCTTCGCGTTTTGTTCTTTAGAGTCGGCTTCACTTAAAACCAAAACCTTAGGGCATCGCTGAATTTTAGTTTACTTTGTTTTGGTATGTTTCTCTTTCTTGAAGGTTGCAATGTCAACTCTTAAAGTGGTTGAAGTGGTGTGAAAGCTGTTTCACTTATAATAAATTCAATAAGTTGCAAAAAAAATGTAAAATTATAAACCTGATGAAGAGGATTTGCAGTACTGGGTGCACACGTATCTGCAGTAATTTTTGAAAGATTAACAAAAAGCTTGGTTTGAAAAGTGCAACACTGTTACTATTTACATGTTTTAGGGTGTGGATTTTTCAGGTTTTTGCTGCTGATTTATGCAAAAATCTTGACAGCTTTCTGAACGCAAGCGCACAGGATGACCATGAAACATTTTACAACACATCCTGCACAATTGTTTTGCACATGCAGGATCACTGGTCTTCACTAGATTATCTGCCATATATAAAAAAAAAACAAAAAAAAGCAAAAATCAGGTCAAACTTTCTATCCCAGTGACCATATTCCAGTGTATTCACCTGTAGGAAAAGCACTGCAAGCTTTGTGTGATTCTCCTCAGTCATAAAAACACAATATTTAAGCACATGTCAATACTTTATTGCACTGTTTTACCTTCATCTCCCCTTGTGCACTTGCATTACTTTTCTGACGGTAATACTCAAGTTGACACACTGGATTAAGGCCATTTTATGGTAAAGTTACACCAGAATATGCATTTACATCATCAGGTCTCACAGATATATAATTCCTGTCCTTAGCATGCAAACAGAAGAGGCCAGAGCCAATCAGAGCAGACCTGCAGGGGGATTTCAAGTTTCACACATTCAGAATAACAAGGACAAAAAAGAACCAACAGCTGTTGTTGAATGGTGCTGATCTGTCTTAATGGACTCTTGGCAGGCTGGTAAACTAGTCAAAGTGGCTGGTGAATGTCAGAGTTTACGAGCCGAGGTGGAACTGAAACGATGAATCTCCACTGCTCAGGTATAGACTGTCCATTTTCCCAAATAAAAAGTAAAAGACGGAGAGACTCTACTGTAAATTCCCCTCTGCAGATAAGTCTGTCTGATGGCTCCAATAACTAAACCAAAAAAAAAGAAGAAAAGACTTTGCTGGCTTGATAGATCTCGAGTGGACAAAGTCAGAAACTGTTGTCTGGTTCAGAAAACACCAGAACCTGAAACCTGGAGCAGCTGGAGAGCAAACAGAGCTTTCTGAGGCTGAGGGAGATTCAGTTTTCTCTTTTCTAGCGCTGGTTGTGCTTACTATTGGTTGGTTATGAAAATGCTGCACCTACTGGGGCTGCCAGCTCACGAACACAGCTCCTTCAGATCGCTGGCTCTGGGCGGTTGTTAAGAAATAAGCAGCTTTTCACTGTCGGGATAAAGAAGGCCAAACTGCAGATTTAGCGATACCACTGATTATAATATCTGTATAACTTTAACCTCACATGCTTCTAAGTTTTGCACGGAGTTGCTCGGATTTCAACTTCAAAGGGCTGCACTGTCTCAAGCCTCCAGTGCGGAGCGCTTAGCTAATTTTCTCAGGGCTTTTGAACAGAGTTGCTAAAAACTAGAGTTCAGTCGTAGTTTTTTGGCGTGGGAGCATGCATCTTGCACCCTCTGACATTCAATCTCGATTTCCTGAGTCGGCATTTTTAAGAGTTCAGTGTCATACGTCTACCAAGCAAACCTCTCGGAAGCATACGTGATCCGTGATCTGTGGAGTTCCTTGGAAGCACAATCTTTTATTGTTGGAACTTCCATTCTAGAGATTTTCAGCTGGGCCAACAGCATTCTTAACAATCACCATTTAAGGTGATATTTAAGACTGTAAATTGAATATTTTGAATTAAAACTGATGTTTTCGACGAATCAAGCACTTTTAAGAGAACCACTTGACCTCCTGTGACTGCACTGCTACAAGAGGTGTTGAGATTAGTTTGTGTTGCTGGTTGTTAGCAGGGTATCTAAAAAAAAGGTTTGGCTGGATTTCCAAGAAAATGTTAGCAAAGTGGGCTGTTTGAATCCTGTTTTTTTTTTCCAATTTCAACAATATTTACCGATCTATTTGTTTGTGTCACAGGAACACAGGCTTTACCTAAAATCTTAAGGCAGACTAACCTTATTCGTCGCGACAGTGTAAAGCAGTCTGACCACATTTAAGCAAAGCAACCAAATTACAGAACAAACACGTAATGCTTCTTCCTTTTCCTGTCTGATTGGCTGCTGCCAGGACCAGGATGTCATGTGATCCAACAGGAGTTGACCAAAATGAAATCCAAATGAGACAAACGGGTGACGTGGCATGCCTAAACAATGTTAATGTTAAGCGTGTTCCAGTGCTACGTTATGGAAACCATTTTGGGAGAGAGGCCTTCCAACCACCTTCTGTGACCTGACATAATTATATGATAACTTGTCAACACTGTGCCTCGGCACCTAAAGGTTCAACATTAGCCTGCAGGTCAAGTCCAGCTAACTGAGCACCAACTGAACATATAAATATAAATTACACAAATAAGAGTAAAGTGATATCTGTGTAGCATCATTTTGATACCAGCAACACCCAAAAGAAAGTCCTCTTGTTGTTTTCAATATATACACAAACGTTTGCTGTAGAGAGTTTATGTAGACGCTCACGGCTCCCAAGTGTCAAAAGAAACGATGTGTGCATTTATGTGTGCATGATTTGTAGAAAACGCATCAATTTCAAGACTTAATATGCAAAGCTATGACCAAAAAGACACAAATATAACTATGCAAGTAAATGTGAAAGACTCATTTCCAAAACGTGTGATCCAAACTTGGAAATAAAGAGTAAACTGAATTTTTAACTTTCTTAACCAGGTCCTGATTTTAGTTCATTTGTATAATGACTTAATTCTAATTATGAACAGGATATTAAAAAAGTGAACAGGAATATTGTTTGGATTTTAAAATAATAAAAACTGGCAATTATGTCCAGTTTCTGCTGAAAACTTTAGTTCTTTATGTTCATTCGATGGAATTTGATCATTTTCAGACCTTTCTGTGCACAAAATGACAAATAATTTTTTATCCATATTTGCAGTCAGATGAACAAATATGGGCGATACTTATGATGCCATCTTGTGGTGATTACAAATAACACGTTGTCAAATCTGATGTGAGGTATTAATAAGGTGAATAAATATGTGTATAAAAACTTGTAAATTGATCAGCTTCAAAATAAAAATCTGACACGTGAGGGTTTCTCCAAGTCAAGCAAACTACACGGTTTCATTTTGGCCAACATGATGTGATAGCTGCATGTAATCACATGACCCCCGCTGTCCAATCAGCAGACATTTCAGAGCAGTAAACACTAGTCTAGTTAGACAACCATATTCGACTTATGAAGTAAAAAAAAAAACGACAATAAAAAAAAAAGAAGCAAAAAAACAAATAGAAAATAAAAAGCTTATTACAGAGATATGAACATAAACACTTCTTCAGTTAAAGTACCATTTCCTTAAGTCTGGACAGATCAGGTTATGTCACAATAAGATTATTAACATTATTCTCATTATTAATATCTTACAAAAAACAAAATTAACAGTGCAATAAAAAGGTATTTAACTCCTCACTCCGCAAGAGAGAGAGAGGAGACGGCGAGGGGCGGGGCTTGGTGACCAGGAAGGACAGAACGAAGGTAACATCCAAAAGAAAAGAAAGGGAACAGAGAGGGAATACGGTGGAGGAGCAGTTTGCAACAGACGAAGGAGGAAGAAGAGGAGGTTCTCAGGATTATATGAAGGATGGAAGATATGGAGGTAGAACGGGAAAATGGGAGAAAGACGAGAAGAAATAAATGATTTGTGGTGATGGCATTTGGAGGGGGCTGAAAAGGCTCATGGGAAATCTTTAGGAAAGATGCACACAACAGCCGCTCATTAACCAGCTAATAATGCTTAACATGTGTCTTTATGGCCATTAATCGAAAATAACAGCTTCTCCTGATCATTAAGACTAAAAATGGCTGAAAAACATTTGATCGTTTAAAATCAGGTAATGATGGCGGCTGTTGTGCGAATCTGTAAAGATGCACAGATACCACTTTTCCTGCTGTCAGTCGTCTTTTACCATGCAATCATGCACAGTACTTACAGGTTTTAATGTGTCTGCCTTCATACATGAACAATACAGGTCGGTTCTCTACATAATGCTTCTTTGAATAATGCTTTGAAGAACCAGAAATGGACCGTCTAGATCCTTCTGCAGATGCAGGCAAGCAGCCCAAAGTTTGCTTATTGAAACAAAATGGTTGTTTGTTTGGGCCATTTTGGGCTTGTGCTGATTTTGGCTGCATCAGTGCACACGGGGAAATTCTGTAGCCGTGGCTTTGCTTTGGTTTCTTATGTGTTCAACCTGCTATGATACTTCATCAAAAAACAAAGAGGTATCAGTGCATCCAAAGGTGTAGAGGGATCAGGTAACTGGGGTTAGGCGGTATTAAGAGGGGTAGATGACAGAGAGGATAGCTGGGGGGTATTGGGGTAGGTGGGCTTGGCCTGTACTGTTGGGAATGTGTCATTTCTCAGGAACTCCTCTTAGTCCTGGAGTGTTGGATCAACCACTGAAGAGTGATGTCTGCAGAGAGAGATGTGACGTCAGCATTGCATAGAGGCGCGTGAACAGAAATCAGAGAAGAAAAGAAAGTAAAGAGCAACTTTCAGTTTTAGCTCTTGGCTTGAAGCTCGTTTCTTTAACAAGTTTTATATGTGTAAACACTAATTGAAAACCGTGTACCCTTCAGGCTGGCCATGATGTAAGCTCAGACTGTTGATGGCTCAGCTCTTCTAAGCTGACAAATCTCATATACAGAGTGAGCTGGTTAAGCTGCTCCAGCCGGCCCACAGCTGCTCATCTGCAAGCCACTTTACATCCCCAGTTCCTCCATTCAGGCTGTTGCCAGAAAGGGTGTGGATGTCCCATAAATGAGCCATACTGGTAAAAATAAATGACTGTGGATGGGACCATCAACCTTCTTTTGATTATAATGGTGTTTAATCTGAAGTTAAAGGTGAAACTTTGTACTGAATATGGTAATGTGCAAATATATATTATATTTGATTATAATATATTGGAGTCTTTGAACGCCTACAGCCTGAAGTCACCAGTCGCTTTCTTCCTACATGTGTTTTCTTTTGTTGTTCTGACTCCACCTTAGCCTGATAAACAGACTCATCATCAACTGCTATATCATTGACAAAACGAGTAAGAAATAATTGGTTTCATGATACTTCTCAGCACTTGATGTTTCGTAGTTAATAACTGAGATGTAAAAACTTGTGTCAGACATATTACAGGGATGCTAATGGGACTGTGAGAAATAAGGTCCCCAATGTGCTTTCATAAGAAGTCAAAGCTTTCTTTTTCTCACATTCACACAGTTGAGATGGGCTCCAGTGGCCCCGCGACCCTGAACTGGATAAATGTGAGAGAAGGGATTGATGGATGGATAAAATAAATATGAAAATCTATAATTAATATATTATATTCATTAATACTGACAGTTTTTCTATTCTTTTTTGGTAATAATTGTCTATACAAACTCTTTCATAGTGCTTTTGTTCAATAGCCCGACAGCACTATGAAAGCAACTGCAACATCCTTTGATGTCCACATAAATTCTTGTTAAATGATGAATGAAATTTACTCGTTCATTTAAAGTGACAAAATCAAACCATTTTTTAACAGCTTACCATCACAACCTATTGTTTCTGTGGTTTACGCATGCATAGCACGTGTCTTAATGGAAACCAAAGTTAAGGATCTGCTATCTGTGTTCTGAACAAACCTCTTGTCTCTGTGGTCTCATTAATGTTTCTCAGGGATTTCACTGCGTCCAGAGACAAAAGTTATCAGCCAAACACGCGTACACGTGTTTGTGCAATTTAACAGACACTGAGTGTTTTGCTGGTTGACCTTTAGGTTTATGCTGGTTTTGACTTATTTGCCAGAAACTTCAATTTGGCATGGAAATGTAATGATGTGTTTGTTTTGTTTCCACAAAATAACAAAACTGTTCTGAACATAACTTTAGGGCTAATGCACAAAGAACATACGTTTTTTTAAATTTATGAGCATGTGTGTGTGTTTGTGTTGTACCAATGTTGTCTTTCTCTTTGCAGGAGATGGAGTAGCAGCAGATCTCTCTGTCCTGGATTGCCGACAGGTTCCTGATAAGAAACAAACACAAAGAAAAATGTATTCCACTCAGAAGGATTTTGAATTTAACTTTGTTTTTCGAGCTAGAATTCATCAAATATTGATGTATGGAAGTGTACAGAAACAGAAAAAAATATGTGACGTCAAAAGGTTGTTTTGCCTTGAGAAAAAAATGTTTGCTCACTGGATGTTTTTTAGGCATTCAGTGAAAAAAGTTAATTTTGGACACTGAGTGTGATGATACTACAGCCAATGCACCAAACGACTCCACAGGGGAACATCAGGTCTGAGTCAGAAGTGAGACTCAGCGTGTTGGCGTGGACTTACATCCTCTCTATGAGCTCCTTCTCATCCAAAGCTCCTGGTAGGTCTCTCTTATTCCCCAGAACCAAAACCTGGAGACGCAGGTGAAACAAAAATCAGCTGAACATATTGCAATATTTAATTTTACTTGTTAAATGGCAGCTGTAAACAGCAGACTACCTGCGTAAATAAGGAAAAGGCCTGAGCTTGATCTAAGTCAAACAGTTAACTCTGGTTATTTCTTAAATGTGCTCTCCCCTCATTTCCTCTAGTGGCTTGATAACTGCTCTTCTGTCTGTTTAGCTTCTGCTAGGTTCAGCTGGTTCCCATTTCATGTTGTGCATCAATGTCATGTGTCACTATCAGCTTTGTGTTTGTGTAAGTCGGGCTCAGTGGGAAAGCTCAGCTCTGCTTGGGTCAGTTGGGTTGTTGTTCTTACAGGAATCCCCTGCAGCTGCGGTTTGTCCAGCAGGTTGTGGAGTTCATTCTTGGAGGCTTCAATCTTCTCTGGGTCTGCTGCATCCACCATGTAACTGCAACAGGAAAAAACAAAAAGCAAGACAAAATTAAGTGGGAAGGTCGAGGGCTGAAAAATAGTCAACACAATATTGGGAGAAAAATTCTTGTTCCTCTAAGGTCCACTAGAGGAAAATCAAGGTCCAGAAAGAATAATTAGGAGCTTCAACTGATTCCAATGTCTGAAATGAGCCTCTTGACCATGTTTTGTTGTTTGTGCCTATAGCAGCCCTTAATGAAATTATTTGACATATATCATGACTTGATGTGAAGTTAAGAGTCTAAAAATCTGTTCAGCAGTAATTCTATTATTTCAATGATCTGCTAATAATACAGGACAGCGGGCATCTCAGGTATCTTTGTGTTAAATGTGACAGTTTATGTATTGCTTGCATTAGCTGTTAACTAAGAACGCCATCGTCTCATCTAAACACGGTCACTAAAACACTCCAAAATGACAAAGGACTAATTGCTAAGACTGTCCATGGTTAATATACAGTATATGGAAAACCTGTGTAAAAAGTCATCAACTTGACAAATAAAATTTGCTTAACTTCACATTTTAAGATATCAAGGTTGATGAAAATGTTTGGGAGCCTTTCAGTATCACTGTTACTGCATCTCAGCTGCATTTGCAAACCAACGTTGGTGCTTCTTGTTACATAAATCTGACCCACATTCACTGCAGCGCTGTCACATCTCAACAACACAACTGGGTTAATATGAGAATCCTGCATTTCTAAAGATCAGTTTCAAGGGTTTTTCTAACATGTGTTCATTAATCTGACCACTCATACCCACAGCAGTTTTACAGCTCAGGGCTTGCACTTTTTATTTTTACATTTAGGTTCTATAGTCAGGAATATCTCAGTTAATGAAATCAGGACTTACACGATAGCGCTGACTCCTCGACAGTAACGCTCCCACATGCTCCTGAACCGAGGCTGACCGCCGATGTCCCACAGCTACAAACACAAGGAAGAAGAAACTAAGTGAGAACTACAAATTTAATATAAACTACAAATTAAAAGGCAAAAGAAATAATATTGATAAAAAAGTAAAAATAATACCAATATCATTATTTTTGTTAAAATTGCTGTTTTTAAAGGGTTACTGAAATAGCTGAGACACATATAGTGTATAACGCTAAGTACCAGAATGATTGCTATGATTTATAAATTGAGGACTTCAGTCCAAACTTCAGTCAGGAGAACAACTGAGATCATTCATCCAGGTTAGTCATTAATATACTGCAACAACATGGGAACAGAGCAGCTGCGAGAGAATTCAACATTAATGAATCAATGTTACGGAAGTGGAGGAAGCGCAGTTTTTGGCTTTCCCCATATTTCAAAAGTGCTTCATCTCTTTGCTATGACTGTCGCCCACCATAATTTGCAGATGATAATGGTTGTAGCCGCTGCGATACTTTCGACCAAAACAGGCGCAGCTTGATGACATCATCAACATGTGCTATCGCAATAGAGCGATATAGTCAAAATCTCTATCGTTGGCCAAATTTATATCGTTTCTATCGTATATAGTTTCTATCGCCCACCCCTACCCCCCCAACACAAACAACAAAAATCCCCAGCTGTTTTGTAACCCTTATAATGCTAAATACATGTTTTATGGATTATTGTTTCAAATTAATTTGAAAAAAAAAAAGAATCCACAAAGCACACATGACAAAGGCAGCAAACGGAGCTATCGACCTTGATGGTGACGTTGCCTTTAGTGATCTTCCTCATGTTGAATCCGACTGTGGGAATCATGTCTTCACTGAACTGACCAGACTGAAAAACACAAAGAAACGTACAGTTATACAAAGACTATATGATAAAAGGTGCAGAGAGTAACTCTGACATCATCCACTGGCTGGTAAAGTTCATTTGGAAAGTTTAGCTACTCACTTTGTGTGAATCAACCGTTCAGATAACCACAATATAAATAAGACTTTTGGAAAAGACAAAAACAATATTGAGTTCTCACTAAAATAAAACATACAGGAAGTATCCTAAGTGTTACTTTTGTATTTTAACACTTACTTTGAACCTATATATATATGAAAAATAAGGATATCCACAGCTCAGAGCCAGCTACAGCAGCATGGCCATTATAAAGTTTAATCATTTTCGTTGTTATGAAAACACCATTGAAGCTTGATTTTTGTTTTGATATGTTTTCAGTTATAGTTTCGTAGAAAGAAAATCTGAATCTGCAAAATATCAGCAGGTCACAGAAAAGTCTGAAATCATGAAGGCCAAAAAGTTGGCTTCCAAAAAGTTGAACCCCCCCCAAACAAACAAACAAACATAGCTAACACTAAACCTAAACAAAAACTACAGTGAAACTACATAGAACATCTATAAATTGTAAATATAAACTTAACAGAACATTGTTCTCCTAGTTTTTTTAAGGGAAAGACGAGCATTTATGGGAAAAAAGCATATTTTATAAAGCATCTTCAGACTCAAAGATAATAGAAGTGAAAACCTGTGCAGATCTAATATCGGTCACACAGAAAACTGATGGTGAATCAATAAAAGAATATGAGCCATAAGAATAATCAATAATAGTGTCAAAAATCAATAAAAGACAACCAAGGAAACCTCACTGAGTTAAGGACAATATATGTTAGTGGGTCACTCAATCATTAACTATGTTACTGGGCAGGACAGGAGGCTTATGAGGTATGACAGGGGGGTGACTAGTGTGTGACAGGGTAGGTCAGTGACATGAGCTGGGCAGGGTCGGGTTGGGCTGTTTGGGGGGGCGCCCATCATCACTAGACATGAAAGTCTCAACAGCGGCCCTGATAACAGGGCTAAGCATGACAGTCCAGTCCCAAAGGGTGGCCTTCACTTCTGTCCAAAGTCCACCGGTGCAAATGTAAAAGCAGTTGTCATAAATTATCGCTCGATCATGGGCTTCATGCGAAGCCTTAGCAGCTTCTATCACCGGGGGGGCATGAAGTCGGGCTGCAGCTCTGTGCAGAAACTGATTTAACAACCACCTTATCGACTCCTGTTGGAGTCACGCTGACCTCACCGCTGCAGGACAACAATGGATGCAACCAGATGCTAACTGACAGCTGGCACATCTGCTAGCAGTTAAAAATTAGCCTTACCGCTATCACATTAACGAAGGTCGTCTTCCCCGAGTACTGCAGCCCAACTAGGGTCAGTTCCATCTCCTCCTTCCAGAAGAGCGCCTTGAACCAGTCCAGCAGCTTGTTGATAAGGGCTATCATCTTTGTCTTCTGCTCCTAATGCTAATGCTAGCTGCGACTGATGCTGCTACGTCTTGATGGCTATGCTAGCTTGTTAGCTGGCTGGCTAACGCCCCGACAGTTCTGGTGTTTTGGAGGCTGACAGTCACTATGACAACCGCGGACGGCACCGGGAGAACCAAACACACCGGTAGGCTTAGCATGTACCGGGGCACGGGTTTAATCAATCGGTGTTTTCAGCCTCGGACGTCTGCTGTGGTGTTTACTAGCTACGCCTTTTACTCACGGCTATGTCAAATACGAAAGTAACGCAGCTCATCACATCCGGTGTGGCACCCTTCAAAATAAAACAGTACACAAAAAACGTATGTTCAAACCTTATATTAAACAAACGTTTAGCGTGGGCACGTATACATGTATACAAGAAGGTCTCTACAGTAAATAAAATTAAAGCTGTTTTAGTCTACAGTTTTAATTTTCATTAGGTACGTTTAAATTGTTAGTTAACGTGTTGGGGAGGGGGGGGGGGGTTAGGGGCAACTTCCTCTTTGGGTGGGGCTGATACATGAAGAAGAAAGCGAAGCAAAGAGGAGTCAGACGTATGTATGAGTGAAACACTGCCCTCCTTCGGCTGTTCACGCTAAAAAAATACAAAGTTTTTTTTCCTTTTTTCTGGTTTAAACTTCATAATAATAGAAGTTTATCATGTTAGAAAAACACACATTCTCATTTTAAAAAAGTTTGCTTTGCTATATAATTATTTAACTTGGAGCACTTTCTTTAAATGAATTCATAAAGGACTGACTCGGGAATGGCACCAGGGCCACCACTAGGGGACACCGTGAGGTGCGTCATTCGTGAAACACATTTGGCAGTAAAGGGAAGTAAATATTGTAATATCTTATCAATGACGAATAACGAGTCATTTCAGATCAAATTTTAAGGCACATCTCTAGAAATGACGTTCTGCAAACCAGATATATGTATTTTGTTGTTTATGTTTTTCTTATAGTTTTATGTGCCCTCGTGCCTTTACATTAACTTTCTATGTGCCCTGGCCTGGCCTGCTGACTCTACAGTGGCTGCTAAAAAAAAAAAAGCACATCCTAAGCACATCCTGAGAGTTCTCAGGAAGAAAACCCTGAGTCAAAAGCTGCTGACCTTTTACATCCCCTCTATAAAGAAGACTGTCGGCTGCTCTCTGCCCTCCCAGCAGGGCTTGTACACCTTTGCTGTCTCACGAAGGCCAAAAATGTTTAGAAGGACCCCTCGCATCCTCGATTTAACCTGTTTCATCTCTTGCCCTCTGGCAGCTGCTACGGGGCCATCTAATTAAGGACAACAGGTTTCAACAATTTTTTTTTATCTAAGATGTATAACAATGATGGGCCTCAGCAGACATCGATGATCCGTGTCTCTCTCTTCTTCTGACCTACCTCTCTGTCAGCTTCTCTCGTCCATCTCGCTCTCTCATTGCTCTGTGTTAAATCATATAAATATGATTTAATGTGTTTTGTGCAATAACTTTCACACAATGTACAAGTTATTGCACATTATGTGCGAGGACAGTCACCACTATGAAATAAATGTTTTTGTTTCTGGAATAATTAAAGCTAATATGAAGCACTTACTCACTGTGCATGTCTGCATTATTAGCAATTTTCTTTGCAATATTCACGCTATTGATAATTGATTGTGCAATAAATGCATTATTAGTAACACTTTAAACATTCATCTTTTGCACATTTACTGTTGAAATGATTGTATGTTTCCTTTCTTGCATGTGAAATCGTAGGCTCTTAGTTATAATTCCAGTAATATGAAGCCATTCATCTTAGAGGTCAACATGAACCTGGAATGGACCCGTGATTCAAGTCATAATGTAAAAATGAATTAGTCATAATTTTAATAAAGTGTTTCCCATTTACAGGCACTGAAAGTAGATGGGATGGGTCATGTTTTGCCTTGATTATGTCAAGTGCAGGACTTAAGGCTTTTAATTAAAATAATTGGACAAATAGTACACGTGGCAGAATCTGAAACCAGAATCACATTTTGTTAAAAGACCATTTTTTCTATAACAAACTTTGAACATCGGTCACGGCACAGATCATTGTTTCCAGGCAAAGCTGCCCCAGTTTCATGTCCATGACACAGAGGACCAGAAACAAGCACCAGCGCCCTGAATGTTTGATCTGCTTTCTGATGATTCACTTTGAACAGCTGGCAGCTGAAGGAATTTTGAATGCACAGCAACACCAACAAAAAATCATTTCTGATGTCAGGAGGTGCGCTGTTTGAACAGAAGAATGTTACATCTTTTAATATTTTTGCTCGAAGGGCTGAAGAAGCATTTTTCTTCAGCATACCACCCTCATCTCTGGACACAAGGGCCCTTACATGTTTACCTGCTGTCCAGATATTTCCATAGGGTGTACTTACTTATTCACAGGACTTTATTGGAAGCTTAAAACATAGAATTAAAATATTTAAACTTTCTGAAAAAAATGTAATGCAGAGCTGGTCGGCTGAATGTGTCCTTTAAAAATTGCTGAGTGAAAAAGTATTTATATTCATAATTTATTGATCTGATTGTTTTATACACATTAGTCTCTAAAGGAGATCAAAAAACAGCAGATTTCAACAAGGCTCAAGAGGTGTTTTTGTTTCATAAATTAACAGAATGGGTCAAATAATAAGAGAGAAACATGGTGATCCAATGATTTCTGATTGTCAAACATGCCACTGCTGATGTGACAAACTGTCCTGGTCGCATTTCATGAAGAGATCTATGTGATTTGTTTTGATACCCTCAAATGTTCTGACTATTAAAACATGTCTTCATACTTAGCAGGCCGTATTTAGAGTTAAACAAATAAATGTGTGTGGTAAATAGCTGCTCGAAAAATACCACAGCCAAGCCAATGAATATTCCTGCCTTATTTTATTTAATTAGTCTGATTCAGTCTCAGTCTGTCATGAACATGATGCTTTTGATCTTCTAATTATTCCTATTCTCTGCTTGTTCAGTCAAATTGGAGCCAAACACCAGTTCTTTGGGGCCCCTGTAGGATCCTCCTTGTCCCCCTGCTGGTGCATCAGTTCTTTAAGTTCTGCTGCTGCTGGCGTCTTTCTCCTCGCTTCTCCTGGACTTCTCTGAAGACACTGCTGGTTATCCAGGTTCTATGAGATCTTCCTGTTCTGTTTGCTGTGTAGCTCGAGGTTCTGCAGCTGTATGCTGACCTGGTCCTCTGGGTTCTGCTGGCTCTGAGGCAGTGTGCCAGGCTGGTTCTGTAAATATTCAGAATTGGTACACTGTTTACAACCTCAAACCAAAAATTACAGACGCAGCTGTTCTCTGATGGCTGCTGTGGTTCAGGTGATTAAGGTGCGGCTGATGTTACATGTTTCATTGCTAACACACAAACTGTTGTTTATTTGGATTCAGTTCCAACCACATCATCCTGCCACCACAGACATGCACCACAGCACCAACTGTTGATGAAAACAGTCCCCACCAAGTTCTAACTATTTTGGTGCAAAGCGCTGTGCAGCAATGACTGCATATATTAACACTAGGCAGCAACCTGTGGCTGCAGCGCCAATAATGGCCACTCGAGGCTGGCTCTAACAGTGTGCCAATCCCCACAGACTGTATGAACAGAGTCAGTGTGGAAGTGCCTTAAAGCTGCATTTCTGGTTGTTTACAAGACTATGGCTCCCGTTGCACTTACTCAATACAGCTCAGTACAACTTATCATGTCATTTGTGGTAGCAAATACACTTAAAAAACAGGCTAAAGTAGGGTATGCTCACAGGCTTGTGATGGACAAGCCTGTGAGCCTATAGTGTCCTTCAGTATCATGCTTAGATTCAGGCACACTCCCCAGGTCTAGTTTAAAAAACTGTGCCCCAACTAGTGGGTCACACCGCCACGATTGACTCCATCTTTTATATACAGTCTATGATTTGTCGCATAGGGTACATACCCGACAACAACACCAGGACCCCCAAAAACAGTATTTATAGTTGCTGCCACTCAATATGCAATAAATCTACAAACACATTTAAAGAAGGAAAATCTGAAAACTAGACTTTTTGAATGATCTGTTTGTTGTTTTTAGACATTTGTATAAACCACTGGGCTCAGAGCTGAAGGCCACAGGCAGCAGTCTCGGCAGGGTGCTGCTGTGTACCTGTTTCTGCTGCAGCTGGGAGCTGTACTGGGCCAGTGTGGAGTACAAGAACTGGTACTGCTCTGAGGTCTGGATCATACCGCCCCTGCAAATGAGCAGACCACAGGTTTTAAACATGCAACTGCATGTTAAAGACGGACTGCAAAGGAAAGAGAGAGGAAAACACCCACCTGTCGAGTCGAAGCTGACAAACTGTCTCCAGGACATCAGCTTGCCCGGTTTCTCTGAGCTGCTGACAGCCGATAGTGCTGGCTATAAAACAGCCTGTCCGCCCGATACCTGCACTGTAGAGGGGAGGACAGGGGAGATGTTAGGAGAACAGCAGTGTAGATTTAGGATGAGTATTGTATTCATCCGACTCATCCATCTGTCTCATCAACACAAAGAACAAAATGTTGATCAATCAAATAATAATCAAAGTTTTCAGAGCTCCACCTTTGGATGCAGTTCTTACTTGAGAACAGGAAGAATTACAAAGATTGTCTTGTGACAGTCCTACGATATTCAGCTAAAAAGCGGCTAATGTGGAGGAGATGATAGGGAAGGTTTCTAGAAAAGTTGGTAAGATCCATGACCTTTGTGCTGACTTTTCTTTGAACTCAGTCACAGCAGATTTATTTACTCTTTGCTCAGAATCTCTGGTTTCTGTGTGCTTCAGTCATGCAGCAGCATATTGGTACTCAAAGACGTGTGTCAGGTCACCGCAGCCCCATCGCTTTAAACTTTTATCTGTCCTCTCTGCTGTGGTTGGCTGCTCAGTCAAGGCAGCCACCCCTGCTCTCAGGCAGGAAGCAGCTTTCGACACATCGGCCGCGGCTCTGGTTTGACACATCGCAGTCTGTTCACCCATAACCATCACGCTGCTCTCAGCGGATGTATTTCAAGAGTGGTTTATTGATGCATGTTTTAACTTCTGTTTATGGTCCTCACTCTCCTTTATGTACACAATGTATTTTATATTTTTACTGTATTATTTTCTTTTTGGATTATTGCAAAGCACCTTCTTGTGCAAAGAGGTCTATACTTCAGTTTAAAAACATGTTCCTGAATGGTCACACAGCTGCCTTGTCGTCAAGCACAAGTAAACGTAAAGTTATTTTTGTAAAATTAGTTTGTAAATCAGTAATGTTTTGTGACTTTATTTGAAGCAAAATTTTTTGCACACAAGCTTTTATTTAGAAAATTCTTTTGCCCTTCCAGGGTGGGACTTGTTGCGTTTATTTCAGTGCAGGAGAAAAATGAAACTGTAGCTGGTTAGCACTTAGTTCTCTTTTACCAACGTTGTTTATAAAAACATGGTGCAATGATCAACTTCTTCATTTTAATGCATAAACAGCATAAACAGCTGTTCTGTTCTCTTGTGACTTTTTCATAATGAGATTTAATTGGCCAGTGGCCTCTTCTGTGGAGCCAGCTCCCAGTTTGGATTCAGGAGACAGACACGATCTCTACTTTAAAGATTAGACTTAAAACTTTCCTTTTTTAAGAAACGTAAAGTTAGGGCTGAATCAGATGACCCTGAATCCTCCCTTAGTTACACTGCAATAGACCTGCTGGGGTTTCCCATGATGCTTTGAGTGATTCTTCTTCACTCACTATGTGTTCATACACCTCTCTGCATTTAATCATAAATTATTATAAATCTCTGTCTCTCTTCCCCAGCCTGTCTTTGTCTTGTCTTCCTCCACTCATTGCTAACCAATCACAGCAGATGGCCCCGCCCCTCCCTGAGCCTGTTTCCGCTGGAAGTTTCTTCCTGTTAAAGGGAGTTTTTCCTCCCACTGTGCTTGCTTGGAGGGGATCATATGGTTATTGGGGTTTGGACTCTATCATTAAATAGTCTTTTCTTTACTATGTAAAGCACCTTGAGGGGACTGCTGTTGTGATTTGGTGCTATATACTAAATAAAAATCAAATGAATTGAGTCGTAGCCACTGGAGCTTGACAGCAGATTTTATTTATTTGGCTAACTTGTTTATTTCTCTCAATGCTGTGAGCAAAATGAAGCGAGAGAAGTGACGCTTTAGTTGAGTAAGATATGACACCTGTCTGTGTTTCGTCAGGTAACGTGAACTAACCAGAACCAATTTTATCCATTTTGAGAAAACACAATTTTTTTTGAAGGAAAACTAAAACTGACCTGCAGTGGATGATGATTGGTCCAGGGCTGGAGGCGGGCGCAGAGACTTCCTGAGAGCTAGAGGGCGGCACAAGGGACTTGCTGTACGTCTCCACCTCTTCCACCAGCCTTAGATATGGAGCTATGCATTGTGGGATATGATGGTCAGGCCAAGATGTGAACCAGTAGTGTCTGACGTGTCGACACTCTGAATGGAGCTGAAAGCACACAAACACACAGTTATCAAACAAAACCAGGTGCACAGACTCAGGTGCTTCTGTTGGTTTTATTTTGGAAACGTGCATTTATAATAAAGCACTATTTTATTTCTTCCTAAAATTTAAAAAGGTTTTAAACCTTAAGTAACTAAACTTATCAGCAAAATGTGAATGAATTGTTTTTTTATTTGTTACAAAGATGTTTTTGTTAGACTGACAAGGAAACCCACATGGAAAAGAAATAGTAAAAACTTTAAAAGACGTAATTTCATTTTCACTGATCATGATTCTGCTTTAGTTCCCTCAGCTACTTCCACTCACTGCTATGAATGTACAAACCTAATAACATCTTCTAGAAGCTTTAAGAAGCTGATAAAAGCTTAAGAAATATTTCATAAGTCTGTAATCAGAGTGGTTTCACCAGAAAAACCCCCAAACACCTCTGCAGATGTCTAATCGGTCCATCTTTGTTTAACCACAAAGCATTTAAGCAGTGCAGCTTTGTAGAGCAGGACTGCAATAACATCAGTCATCCATTTAGACAGTGATCTTAAGAAATGACAAACATTTAAAACATGGCTTCATCTGGCTCATGGAGGTGAAATCTGCGAACTCTACTGTACCTGAATCTCCATATCTGTGACCGTGAATCCGTCTTTCTCTCGGCTGTCTTTCACTCTGATAAGGAATCTGCCGATTTGTCTCGTCTCTCCTTCCTCTTCATTTTCCTTCTCCCTCTGCCCATCCTTCTCCTCCGTGTCTTCGTCCTCCTCCTTTACCCTCTTCGTCCTGTCTCTCGGCTGTGGCCAGTACACCTCACATTTCTTCAAACAGACAAACAGCCAAGTGTTCAGATCCATAATCAGATGGATGTAGCATGAATGCACAGCTCAGTGCACAGTAGAATACAAGAATAAAGTCACATTAAATGGAGTAGAAAATATACAACATAAATATATATAATAAATATAATAAATAATAATAAAAAGCAGCTTTCTTTAATGGACTCTGTACATCATGTTTACTGATGAAAGCTGGCCTGCCAATCACCCACGCAGAATTTCTTAATACAGAGGAAGCTGCGTGAGTAAACATGCATGACTAGAACTGTGGTTGTTATTTTGTGCGATATCTGTGTTGTTGTGCAACAGCGAATTCAGCTGCGACTTCTAATTTAACGTTGTCACTTTAATCAATCTGAACCTTGGTGAAAAGGCGCTGCTGTGCTCCATCTTGAATACAACGGCTCCCAGTGTACTGACAGTCCACAACAATTTTGGCTGCTCATCACTCAGGCTACCTGACAGATGTGGTACCCCGTGAGGTCATCCTGTTCCCCCAAAATAAAGTTCAGGTTGAACTTTTGACACAATGGAGGAGATCCAGTGAAATGAGGACAACCAGGGAGTGTCTCAAGAGCGACAGCAGTGCAGAGGAGGGTGTGTCGCTGCATAATGTCACTACTTCAGTTTGTTTTTCCACAAATTTGCGGTGCAGCACAGCTATTACACAAAAGGATGAAATGAACACAGGGAAACAACACTTGTGTCTCCTCACCTCGTTGTTCTCCTTCAGCCTCGTAACCATGACGATGATACTGCTCCTCTCCTGCCACACCATGTCCCAGAAGTCTCCCACGGTGTGCACCATGGGCCCCTGGGTAGCGATGTAGGCCCTGGGAGCCCCTTTGTAGCCCTGCCACATAAAGAGCATCAAATCTCACAACAATCAGTCAGTAAACTTTCTCACAGTATAATGCTTTACTCTGAGGTCAATACCAGGACACTAGAACCACTGGAGGTTCTAGTGTCAAAAATGTAGGTATAGGAAGGAAACATTTAATGATATTTTGGAGGAAATTGAGACTTTAGTTGTCAGATAAAATAAAGAGAAAGTCCACAGAGTTCTGTACTTGTGGTAGAGACATCTAGGGGACACCTTTTCAGCATCGTAGCTGCAGCAGTTGTGTCTTTGAGACAAAGCACAGTTCACCCAGCCCAGACGTCACAGTTTAAAGCATGTTTTACATCCTAATTTCTATTTTAGTGTTCTCTGTTTCCATCTCAGCTCTGATTAGGTGACTGACAAGCGCATTTGCTGACTTGTGGACCGGGCGTTTCCAGACCAGGCTTGCACAAATCAACTATGAGGTATTTTCCAGCAGAGCTGGATGCACTCTGACCGTTTTCTTTGTGTTGTTTCATTTCTCAGGTTGGTATAAATGGATGCAAATGCAGATTAAGAAATGTCACTTGTTGTTTTTGTCACACACATTCATCATATCCCCTAGACTTCTAAAACCACCCTGGCCTCACAGGGCAGGAAGTGAATGATTCAGATTCAATAACAACTGTCAAGGGTCCAACCAGCACGCCACCAAATATAACAGGAGTTTAACTGAACGGGCAGATGAATGAAGGCTACTTTTTACTTGTTGTTGCACATCAGCAGAGGCAGCAGGTGCTTCATGAAAACTGTCAAAAATTAACAACACAGGCGCACACTCCACAAACACACACAAATTGAGCTGAGGCTGCACAGTGTGAGGGATGCGTGGGCCGTAAGGGAAGACAGGGGGAGGGGGAGTCGGGGACATGTCACTTCCTCCCTCACTTCCTGTGGTTTTCCTGGTTGCAAACTCCCACGCTGACAAACCGACGGCTCATATCTGAGTTTCTGTTTGTTTAGCTGTCCAACACACACACACACACACACACACACACACACACACACACACACACACACACACACACGGGAAGACACCCACGCAGAGTGACAACGCTGTCACACACTCTATCAGCTTGTTTCCTTTTTAATAAAACCCTGAAGGAAACATATTTTCTTTTCTGTCACTTGACTCATTTAATCCAGGACTAAGTAATACAATGAAACGGCTCAAATGAAAGAAAAGACATTGTTACTGAACCTGAGATCTCAATGACAGTATCTATTTTCAAACAACTTTATCTGCAGTACATTTTTTCAAGTATAGATAATAAATATACACTCGTAGAAGATGCAGCAGCCCTGAAGATGACAGCCCAGACTCTGACAGTGCAAGCCTTTAAAAGCTCCTAATCATCCCAGCACAATTTTAGAGTTAGGAGAAATGTCCAGGATTCAGTTTCTCTCTGCTGCAGTACGGCAAGGATCAATGTGATAAGGACCTCTGACACGTCTTTTTAAACCACCATGAGCCTGATTTAAAAAGCCTCTTAACCGTCACTTTCTGTCTTTTTTTCTGTTTTTAGGAACAACACTGGAAATAAGCCATGGAAATTTCATAGGGAGCAGCCATCGGAAGATGTGAAGGATGGACATAGTCAGCAACAATATGTTTATGTTTATGTTCTTTTTGCCAAATTCTGACCATCCAAACGTTGCAGCAGAAAACATGTCGGCGGTCTCATTAGACCAAGCAACCTTCTGTTTTCCAGAATACTTAATGTGGTCTTCTGCTGCTGTAGCCCACCTGCTTCAGGTTTCCACATGTTGGGCATTAACAGATGTTCTTCTGCGTACCTTTGCTGAAACGTGGTTATTTGAGTTAGTGTTGCCTTCCTATCAGCTCAAACCAGTCCGGTCATTCACCTTTCACCCTGAGAACTTCCACTCACTGGATGTTTTCTCTTTTTATGACTTTTTTTTACTCTGTGTGTGAAAATCCCAGTATTTCTCAGCAGTTCCTGAAATAGCTGCCATATTCAAATCCGCTTAAATGACCTTTCTTCCCTATTCTGATGCTCAGAATGAACTTCACCAGATCATCTTGACCACATGTCCAGATCCTTCTTTCCTGTGATCCTGTGGCTTAGATGTTTGCTGATGAGTGTATACTATCAATTTTTATTTAAATAAAAAATATATTAGTTCCAGAAAATATATCACACTTTTCATTTTCATTAAACCATTAAAATTAGCAACTAAAACCACAAAAGCACAACATGCTCATTTGTGCTGAGACAAAAAAGGAGATTACAGAGACCTGATGTGGTCGGTGGGAAAGGCCCACCTGACATAGAGTGTGAGATGACAGAAATCTGTGGGGTTAGTTGACTTGGTAAGAAATAATGTTAGACTCTTACCCTGATGTAGTTGGCGTTGATGTAGCGATCAGGCCCAGGTTCATCGTCCGGGTTCCTCAGGATCACTCGGCTCTCAGGGTCTAAAGACAAACATACAAATAACGCACGGTGATAAATGGGAATAAACACATCAAGAGCTTTTCTACTGAGGTGAGACGGACAGTAACTGACTGGGGAGGATGGTTTTGTATCGGTCTTTCATCATGTGTCCCGGAACATCGAGGTCAGCAGCATTCACAAAGTTCGGAGGGATCTTCTGTTGGGGAGACGGGAATATTAATGAATGTTAAAACTGTCCTGAAAGTTGGAGAGTTTAACAGTCTCAGAAAGCTATTCCATACCTGCTAGAAAGCACTAATTCTGGAGTAAATGTTCAGGATTTTAAGGTAATTGGTGGATCTGATGTTTTCTAGATATCATAGCTTTGCTTTTGTACTGCAGGTACATACAGTCAGACAAACAGGAAGGAGAGGAGGAAGGTAAAAAATTTCATAGACATTTGTTTTTAACTGTTTTGGGCAAAAGACTCCAATAAAGACTTCACAATATGAGCAATTTGAGGGGTTTTCCATTGTCCATGACAGTACAAAGTGCAACACAAAGTGATTGTGCTTCACTGTGTCAAAACCTGAACTTTTCAGAAGTTTCAGAATGCAACCCCATCATCCTGAGCTGATGAGCCATCTGCAGTGTTTATCTTTTACAGTGAAGACTAATATTCAGCAGTGACAATCATCAACATGAAAGTTGGGCCAGTTTAGACTTTGACACAGTGCTGCTTGTAAGACATGAAGCAAATCACAAATCTACTGAAGGTAGACCTAAAAACAGAATCAGCAGTTACTGCTGGCACGTGTTACATGCACAGCAGGAACAGTTCAAAGTCCTGCAGATATTTAGTTTGTTTCACCTCATATTTCCCTTTTGTCTCTGCTTAATTTTAATGTGTTGAATGTTTGCAATGTTTTGAGTGTACCTGGTACTCTACATTCAGCGTATTTGTGTCAATGGCAGCTTCCTGCAGCAGCGTGTGTGTGAGTGGTCGTGAGGAGGTGTGAAGCAGCTGAAGCCACACCTCCTTTGGGGTGGAGACAGAGCAGACAGTCTCCACCCCCAAAGTGTTCACATCCAAAAGGAGAGACAAATTAGAGCCCCGCCTGCAAAATAAGAAAACATTCAAGAGAAAAAGATGATTTATAGCAATTTTAAACTAACTAAAGAAAACATATATTCAGAGTTTTAACAAACACATTTTAGTCACAAAAGTGTAAATTTAAAAAATGACATTTTTAGAGGACTGAGGGTTTTAGAAAGCAAGATTATGCATAGTTAATGCTCACCTCTCCTGGAGCCGGACTGAAGCTTTGCGAGGAGGTGTGGTCAAGGGTGGGGGTGTCACTGGTTCCTCAGCAGGAGGGGAGGCGGAGTGCACTGCTGACATGCTCATGGTGAGTATAGGTGTATTTCAGTGGTTGGGTCCTCCTTATCTGCGCCTCACCACAGCATGCTGCAGTACAGAGAGAGAAGGAGCTTTAATATCACCACATCATTTAGTTTTTCAGTAACCAGGAAGCAGGATAGGCTGGCAGAGTGATCGTGCGAATCAGAGCTGCTGATAACCAATCAGCAGCCACTATGCTCAAGCGTCACTGCACCCACCAAAGTCTGCTGAACTCTGGGAAAGGAAGTACACACTGTTTCTGAAGTTAATTTTTAGTCTAAACTGTAGATAAATGATTTTTTCTTGTTTTTCTGTAAATGTGTAAAACTGCTTCACAAAAAATTAAGACGTCACAAAGGTGATGTTCCAGTGTAAAATCAGCCAGTGAGATCTACACAAAAATGTGAAACAGGCTTAAGTGACTTGCCAATACAAGTAAGAAAGATTGAGAAAGATTGCTGACTGGGAATTACGTTTAAAGCAACGCCAAAATGTTTTAACCTCTGTTTTCAACCGTGGCGTGAAAAAAACAGCGTGTTTTGATATGAGACACAGAATATAAACCACGAAGAAGACAGAGGCTCTCTTTACCAGCCTCAGTGAAATAAACATTGCTGGAATTTCAGCTGTTTTTTGGTAAATGGTCTGTATTTATATAGCGCTTTACTAGTCCCAAAGGACCCCAAAGCGCTTTACATATCCAGTCATCCACACACACATTCACACACTGGTGATGGCAGCTACATTGTAGCCACAGCCACCCTGGGGCGCACTGACAGAGGCGAGGCTGCCGGACACTGGCGCCACCGGGCCCTCTGACCACCACCAGTAGGCAACGGGTGAAGTGTCTTGCCCAAGGACACAATGACTGAGACTGTGCAAGCCGGGGCTCGAACCGGCAACCTTGCGATTACAAGGCGAACTCCCAACTCTTGAGCCACGATCGCCCCACTTTTATGCAAACTGTGAACCCATTTTTACATAAATTTGCTTATAAATGACTTTCTGTGAGTTCACATCCACTCTTAGTGCATTATTACTATTAGACTGATGATCCCGATAACTAATTGAATTTCTGAATAGATGATCATGCATCTGGTGCTGCTTCTGTTGTATGCCTGTTAGTGTTCTGCTCCTGTGCATTTTGGATCAGCAGTAGTTATTCTTGGCTCTAGTCTGGCGAAGATTCAGGTCCATTTTGCCTCTAGCCCAACCTGGTTGAGTGACATCATCAGTCTAGGCACGTCAGGAAGAAATACGGAGACATTAGCAGCTTTTATCATGTAATTATGGTCACAGTAACTCAGAATGCATCATAAGAGAAAAATACTGAATATGACTCACGGGCCTGTAGTACAACAGATATTTCCCACTGCTTTTTATAACAGCTAACAATACAAGCACTGTATGAAAAATCAAGCAATAATATCTGAGAACCTGTATTGTCATTGTTATTACAGCAGAATGCAGGCAGCATAAGATGCATGACCGTTACAGCCCCATGCTGAAACATGTGGCTCTGCAACTGCATGACTTAACTGTATACAATTAGAGAAGCTACAGTGCAAAAAAACTGAATAAAGCGGCATTTTGGCATTTCTAAGCCTTTTTGTTGTGGCCAGTTTTCCAAAAACAGAAAGTGTGTTTGCACTCACCATTCTGTTCCTCTGTTGCTTCTCAGCTTCACTTTAACTTAAATTTCTGTTCTGTTTTGCCATTCAGGAGTTTCCAAACAAAATAAGAAGATCACACTCCACGTGTCGCTGCTGACAGCCCTCGTGATCGCAACAGTTCGTTGTTGTCATCTGACATGCTGAACAAATTATTAATGTGATGATGAGGCAGCGCTCTCGTCAGACGGAGCACAGATCTGCCATCAGTACCCGACAGACGAGACCCGATGAGCGCTGGTAGCAAACTCAGCCTGAACCCTGATGAAGTGAAAACAAGTGTGTGTAAATAAGTGTGTCTGTGTTTGTGTGTGTGTGTTGTCACTGTTCAGTGTGTTTCCACATCAGTTCGGACCTGAAACGTTTCAGCGTGTCTCCATCGGAAGAGAGTTTCCTCATAGCAGGAAGTCAGCACGCCCACACTTACTCAACACACTCATACAAACACACGCCTCAGTCAATAGACTCAAACATAAAGGCCAGACTTACATATATTACTATTTTGATTTTTTAGACTGAATTGAACTTCACAAAATGTGTTTCTTTAGAAAGCTGCAGAGAGTTTGTGCTTGATGCTGTTGTTATGCAACTCGATCATGAGTCAAAACTACCACGAGCTTAGCAAAGTTTGGATGATTCACAGAGATGCAATAGACACATTAATGGGAAACACAGCAGGCTGGAATAAACCAGAATTACAAATCAACACGTACGTTATCTGTGCATTCACAAAACTGGTTTAAGTTCTCAGAAGTGCTGTTTAACAGAGAATCAAGATAGGAGTTAGATGGAAACGGACAATCGAGTTTCACCAGATTTTCATGGATGTCAAACATTCTCGTCTTGCTGTAATGAATTTTTGTTTTCTTTTTGTGCACGGCTCATTTGGGCTTTTACCTAGAAAACAGTAAATGTTATAAGAACCCCAGAGTGCAAACTGACAATAAGAAAAAATGCATATTAACGCTCTCTGGCTGCAGAGGCACCTTATCTCTTTGGTTATGGTTTAAGTAATTCTGGATAATCAGTAATAAATAGCAGATATAAAAAATGGGTTTAATGTTAGGGAGGTCCTGAGTATTTGTTCCTCTGTGCTTTAATCTGGACCTCGGGACAGTTGGGGGCATTTTTTCAGCAGACCTCAGGGATCTTGACATAATGTGTAAACTTAAAAGATCACAGAGGCAAGACGGTGCAAACCCATGCAAACTCTGGCAGTTGGTGGAGGAACTCCAATATGGCGGACATGAAGTCTCGCTTGCATCTGAAAATTAATAACTGTCCCGCAGCATTTTGGACCAGCTGCAGTGACTGACTGACACCTGAATAAAGACTCTTAAAGTCGAGGTGAAATGAATGCACAGCTAACGCTCTCAAAGTCTCTGAAACAGCAGAAAGATTTCATTTTTGTGAGTAGCTGGAGATGAAAGAAGCTAGGTTTGATGACAGCATTCACGTGTTTGTTCCTCGCAAAGTGCTTTTTATAAACGTTTAAAGAACCGAGGTCACAGAGGTCAGGAAACGTCTGAAACATGTAAGTTTGACGAATATGCAAAAAATCAGGAACAGCGAGGCGACTTCACAGCTCTGCATAGTTTCAGGTTCCTGACAAAATGAACTTGTTATGCTGAATCGTGCAAACGTCGGGATTCTTCTGTCACCTAACTAGAAACCTTCAATGTGGCAGCTGGAGGTGATTTTACTACTTCCATATTTCTGGGTACATTTTGAATGCAGCATAACATGCGAGTTGATTTATATTTCAAAATCTGCAGTTTTAAAATAAATGGTATTGAGTGAAAAGCACTTTGTTTATATTTGAAGTATTTGGAGTAAAAGTGCAACGCGCCATAACATAAAGATGCTAAAGTATTACATTACATTCCTCTGCTGGTCCTATCCATTCTGTCATCCAATCATGTCGAGGATTGTAAGTTAATTGTATGTTAGTCCTACAATCCACACACACACACACACACACAACTATTAGACTGATGATCCCGATAACTAATTGAA